AGGAGGGGGGGGGGGAGAGGGAGAGCGAAACTCGAACTTATTTAAGCGAGCATGCGGTCGCTCTGATGCAGTTGCAGTGTTGCACATGCGCTTTGGAAACTTTCTAAAGTAATTCGGCGAGCGATCAAGTCTCGCTGCGTCGGTGTACGTGCTTCTTTCTCTCTCGATTACTTTTCATGCGGCGTGAAACTGCTGGATTGTCCCCCCCCTTCTTTCCCGCTGTTCATTGGATATCTAAGTCTCTTCCTCGATACTTACGAATACTTCGTAATGTTCTGTGCAAAAGATTCATAATTATAATCTCGCATAGTGAAAGAACCAGAAGGACAGTTTTTACAGTAGCTGCTATTATAGTGTTAGTAACAATCACTTTCTATGCGTATTCTTTACTACTATTTTCTTGTTAGAACAGCAAGAAGATACTCACAAGTAACACTACCCAAGTGCCACACGCCAATCTTCTTGAAACTTTGCACACACGTAGTACATCGAAAAACATTAGACACTAGGCATTAGACATTTAAACATTATTTTTTTATTTTAGCTAACAAGGCATTTTAAGGTTAGAAAACGCATTCGAAAATTTAACACTTTATAGCACAATGATAACTAACGCTACTCCTGAGTGTCATTCTTTTACAGATTTTACAACATTATAATATCTCTATTATAATTTTATTGTCTGAATGTTTCTGAAGTCGCTAATTATGATTTTGACATTAGTTTGTAATCGTAATCATGGATCTAAAAAACTTCTTCGAAACTGACTTTGAGTAAAGTCTGTGAAATGTCTGCAATCTCGGCCCGCCACTTTGAATCTCGCAAAACTAATGTCAAAATCATCATTAGCGACTTCAGAAACATTCAGATAATGAAATTATAATAGAGTAATGTCGTAAAAGCTGTAAAAGAATGACGCTCAGGAGTAGCGTTAGTTATCATTGTGCTATAAAGTGTTAAATTTTCGAATGCGTTTTCTAAGCTTAAAATGTCTTGTTAGCCAAAATAAAAAATACGTGTTTTTCGATATACTACATGTGTGCAAAGTTTCAAGAAGATCGGCGTGTGGCACTTGGATAGTGTTACTTGTCAGATAGATTTTCACGATTACTACGTCGTGAGACTAGCCATGTGATGGAAATGATTTTTTTACATTTATAAAACAAACGTGGTAATACTAACTATTCGCAATTAATATTAACTATATTAAATATAGTGACACTAATATAGCAAGATATAACACAATTGTGTATATAATAATGCAATCTTTTTGTTATACCGATGCAACAACAGATTTAATAAGAGTTACATTAAGATTTTTTCATTATATTTCACATCACATATATTGTTTGGAACAAATTTTGATTAGTTTTTTGATTTTTTCATTTCGTTATTTTATATGAATTCTACATGAACTATACATAAGGGATTTAATCTTTACAAATCAGTAAAGGTTGCATTTCTTATCAATCTATTGATTTACAAATGCTGCTGTATATTTGTCTATCTAGGTATATTTGGCGCCGACAATGACTATAATTTCAGTGAGATTAATTACTTTTTTCTGTTAGTATAACAATGTTTGCTTCAGTAGGGATTTAAAATAATTACACGATTTCGTGCAAAACGAGATTTTTTTTAATTAAAGATATCTAGATTTTTCTCTCTTCATTGCTGTATATTTTTTTTCTTTGAAGAATTAAAAAAATCAAAAAATCTCATTTGTATCTGTTGTGAATTAAAAAAAATATAACGGTTAGACTAAATAAAAAAGAATTTAATATTTTATCATGAAACTTTTCGACTTAACATATTGTTTAAGGTATTAATTTATTTCACGCGTGTGATGAAACCGACTTCCCCGTGTTTTCCGAGTATTTTCTGCCGAATCGGCTGTAACTCCCCATTTTCGCGCGCTCCATTTCTCCCTTTCGTTATCTTACGGTTAGAGCGAATTTCGTGTAAACGGTAACAATCGCGGGCAAGTGTTGATAATAACCGTGTCGATTCATTGGGGTGCGCAACGCCAAAAAGGCGCCACTGAGTCACCCCTTCGGAAGAATTTAAGCGGGCGTCCTCGCCGAAAACGACGCGCTCATGTCCTTATGAGAGGGAGAGGGAAAAAGAGAGAGAGAGAGAGAGAGAGAGAGAGAGAGAGAGAGAAAGAGAGAGGGAGCGAGAAAGAGACAGCTTCTTCTCGAGCTCGATTGGAAAATGGGTCACTGGGTGTCGAAATCGATAAGCGATCCGACGTATGCGCTGCATGGTAACTGCATTATCGACGATCCTCCGAAGGAGATCCTGACCTTCGCCCGGGGACGGGTGGCGCGACGTTTCCTGATCCGGAAGGATGTGCGTCTATGCACGCTTACATCGGTCGTACCGAGAATAACGACTGCGAGTTCAAGTAAAAACAGATGTTCACGTAGGTCTCTCTGATGTAGCATTCCCGCTGCGTGGATAAAATTCTACCGATCAATCATCTCGCAATTGCCGCGGGATACTTTTCTCCCGCGTGGACGCTTCCTTCTTCTATCTTTTTTTTTTTTGTATCGGTAAAGCGATAAATTTCCTCCGGCGAGTTTGATTCGACGCATTTCCCCCGCGTATTCGTCCGTTGCGAGTGGTAAAAGCCATTTTTAAAACTCTCGTCTGATCTCGTGCGGAAATATCTACTTTGTCTGACCGCGTGTATACATATCTACTTTGCCTGCCCTTTTACGGACGTAGCTACTTTGTCTTGCCCCGCGTAGGTATCTATATTGGATATCTCAACACGGACGTATCCGCTCGGTTTGTCTGCGTATCTATGTATCTACTTACCGAGCTAACTATTCGTGAAATCGAATTTATGTTGCTACTTGTTGGTCGCGCGACCATTTCTGCCCGCACAGCGAGCGATTTTTCTACTGCGATGCAGGTAAGGCATCCGTCACGATATGCTCACTCGGAATGTTTATTTAAGCGTTTATCGGGACGCTTATATTTTTTCACAATTAAATATTCTCTTCTTATACGTAGAGCGGAGGAAGACGCGCGCGTGTGTGATGTCGGAGATAAAGTATTCCTTTTGTATTTCTCGCTGAGGTGAGTTCTTAATAATCCGCCCGAATGCGGCAGCCTCTACTTGACCGTGATAGCGGCTTTACATGCGCATTTATTCCACGTTCTGGCGCTTGGGATCTGCTCGTTCATCCTTTGAGCATACAGCAAGCTGCGCATATCGTCTGACTGTGCACAAATATAACTATTTAAGCGTGAAATCGAGTTTATGTTAATATGCACTGGAATAAGCTGAGAGTATAACCGAACGCATTTGGCGTGAAATCTAAGATGATTTAGCGTCTAGATGATTTATGCTATCTTAAAAGCATAAGTGTATATGTATTCGTTTATTTCTTTTTTTCCGCCAAGGCCATAAATTTCCGTCAGCGAGCGTGATTCGACGTATCTCCTTCGTATGTATATTGGTTTATAGTGAGTTGTAAAAATTGCAATTTTAGCTATGATCTCATGGGGAGATATTTGCGTCTTGTATAATCGCGTGTGTAGGATAATGCAGCTGCGCGATTACGGAGTACTTTTTTTTAAATCAACAGACATTGCTAACGAGTAAGCGAGAAAGAAGCTACACACTGAGGGAAAAATTATCTTAAAATCAACAAATATTTTTTTGATGAATGCTATTAACATATTTACTTAAATCTAAATTCTCTTTATTTAAATCAAATATTGTTTACCTGATTTAAGTAAACAATATTTGGTTTAAATAAAGAGAATTTAGATTTAAATAAATATGTTAATGGCACCTATCAAAGAAATATTTGTCGATTTTAAGGTAATTTTTCCCTCAGTGCTTCATCTGCATGCTTCAATCTTAAAGCTTCTCTCTCACTTCTACTCACGTCACTCCTAAAAATGACGGACAGCAAGCCAAACAGGGCTTACCATACTTTGTCCTAACTAGAGGAAAACTCTAGTAGAAATAAGCTCCTACTCCATTACCTACCATAATAGATTCCTTCGCTTTACATCTACTTAGACTGTTTTTTTTTTTACAATATAGAAGAAAATCCATATTCAGGGGTACATATTTATTTATAGAAATTTTATTTAGCGATGCGCGCTAAACCGAATTAACCCAGTTTAAGTTGGTGACACACCTCGCTGATTTAATTTCGCGGACAATGTCGCGCATAAATCTCCAAAGTAGCGCCGCCGTAGATGCACACATTCGCCGAACATTCGTGGACGGGGGCGAGTCTCGTTCATGCGCGTGGCACTGACTCATCACGGAAGTCTAATTAACGTCGATGCTTATTGCTAATGGACTTACGCGCGAGCTGGCGGAGGCGCCCGGCATTCGCATTTCCGCGTTTATCCTTCGACCAGGCGACGACTAGCGCACACCCACGCGCTCTAGCAGCAGCTTGGTCCCGCGGCCGAATTTGCGTCAGTGCTCGTATTGTTGATCAATAGGAGCACCGCACGATGCGTGTCGCGTCTTTTAGCGGTCCAATTCCGTTTGAGCCAGACGTTGATGCACTCATTACGATGCAGTCAGTCACGATAAATCGTAGTAACGGTGTAGACGCGGCGTGCCAACGTCAATACTCTCGTCTGTCACAGTTCTCGTCCTGTCACTCTCGCGTAAAAATGGCGGCGTTTTAGTAGCCGCGAAGAGCGGCAGAAGCAGCCAATGGGATATTTCTTTCGGATGATATCGAGGTTTCGCGATTTCACGAAACGGAATCTGCCATGTCACTCGGAAGCAGAAGGCTAACCTTTGACCGTAACTCGCCCACGTATAGGTGTACTTATATGCCCTTGGATTTTATATTAAACTATTATTAGCCGGCGGCGAGTGCTCAATGGGGTGAACGACGGGAGATTCGAGATTATACGGCCTGTAATAGAGTGAACGGCGACTTTCTGTGATCCGCGGAGAGCGATCCTGACCTTTGCCGATGGTGTAAATGTTTCGCTCAAACGGCGAATCTACAAGCACTTCTCCTTACTACACGGCGCTTTTAACGTCGGGATATTATGTTATACGGAGTTTCTCTCCTTCCGTTTGTGCGTTTCCGAATTGGAAATCGCGTTTTAGAATCGCGGGAGAGGTCGATCGAGTGAGAGGGAGAGAAAGAGAGGGGGAGGATTGTGTAGAAGAAAAAAAAGCACGTTAGAAATATATCGGTTCGGTTTGAATTAAGCTCGCTATATAGCACGCATTAAGTTTGTAAGAACCAGACCTCGGCGAAGTTATAGTCAGGCTATCGATATCGGCCGATATTAATAGACGATGGAAAAATATATACAGTCGAGACTAAATTTACTTGTATCAATAACGCCGACTGCGAGAGCCTGTATTCTTTAGATCGCTCTGCAAATTTTTTTCTTTCCCTTCCCTCTTTTATTTTACAGTGTCATCGTTTTTGGCACGCAACGCGCGCGATATCTCGCGAGTCGATTCTTCCGCTTTTCACCTGCGACGATGGCCGGGTCGGACCGGCCACGATATAAAGCAGCCACGATCAATGTGTCGAGCGGCATGATACTTTAGGAAAAAGCTCAGGCTAATGATGAGGACACCAGGCTCGTGCTTTGGGATTCGCGGCGTGTTTGGGCGACTATTAGATCGACGAACGATTTACCTGGCGGACGGAAGTGATCCGCGCCGCGGCGCCGCTCCCGGTCGACGTGCACCGACAGCCGTCCTCGCCCTTGCCTACCCTTCTTCTATCCCTGGACTCCCTCGGGAAAGCGATGGATGCACTTGATCGTCTTCGGTGCACAAGTGCGGAAGGAATATCGAACTGGCGACGCAAGGGGCGCCCCGAGGGTCGCACCCAAAGGGTAGAAGTGACGTTCGGGATGCGGGGGGTCGCTTAGTGGGGGCAATCGTGTCGTGGTGGTGGAAGAGCCACCAGGGTGGACTTGGAAGGACAGCGTGGCACGCGCCTTCCGCAAACTAAGGCAGCCACGCTGCCGGCCGGTCGTGTGTCTCTTCTCGTCACCCTCCGCGAGTATCGTTGCGATAGTCATCGGTTGCGGTGCGTTCGCGATGGGGCTGGCTGGCTCCTCCGCTGCGTGATTAACCCGTTCTCACCTCGCGTTCGCCTCACTCCCTTTCTCACCCCCTCTTTCTCTTTCTCTCTTCAAGTACTCCAAGTTCAGGTCTCGAGTAGTTTCTTGACGCTCGGTGACGGTATCGTAGAACGAAATCTCCATCGGATTAGCTGGCGCGATCTCAAGTGAACAAGCGATAATAATTAGCGAAGCTACTAACGTGAGCCGCCACGTAAAGCCCGAGCTGTAGAAAGAACATTTTAGAGAGAGAGAGAGAGAGAGAGAGAGAGAAAGAGAGAGGCTCTCGTTTATTCGAGGAGAGGCCAGCTTGCGGTGTTCTCCCCGCTATAACGCATTCTTGTCGAAGGGGATGAATGCATTCCTACCGAGGAAGATGAACGATTCGGGCGAAAACGGGTTAAAATGCACGCCATGAGAAATTGCCGCGAGCGTCAATTTTGTTGAGTGTCGTTCAAGTGCATCATGTCGGGCTTGTTAAGTGATCGTGACCGGGGGTGCGTTTGAAGGAAGAAGAGTCCCGCGAGGTTGTACTCCTCGATAGTGCACGATTGAGGTAGATCAAGTAGCGAAACGTTCGCGCGCGCACGAAAAACATTGTTCGTCGTGGCCGGTGATAGTGATCGTGAATTATATTGTTTCCGATAGAGGTTCGCGCTCATTGATCACGACGGATTATCGATCTCGACGATGGAACACGAATAGGACTAGTGCATTGTGCGCGATCTAGAGTGCCCTTGAGCAACATTGCTCGGGATAAATTAACGATAAAAGATCACGTAACTTGGCATCCACGAGCGATTTCAATTGTACCCGGCAAATTTTCTTCCACGTGAGAAAACCGGGAAAAAGCGTCGCGTCGAGATACCCACATAGTAAATTTCTCGGGATTTAATTGGGATCCAATACTTCAAAATAGTTGTAGCTTGCTTAGAAATGTAATGTTCCAAGCGGACAGAGAATCTATATTTATGAAGAGAATAGGATTTCAGTGTTGGTATAGTGAGATAACGAATTTTAGGACAAGGTTAAGCATTCTAATTGGAATTTACGCTGTATATTTGGGAGAATCTTGAAAATTATTTTTATACGTTCAGCATAGAAAACTTCTGAAGATTTAATTGAGACCAAATCTGACTCGGGATCTGATAATTATGAATCCTGGTTACAAGTGCAATGTTTCACAGTCCTGGGAATGATTGGAAATATGCAATTATCTCAAAGTTTTTTCAGTATTCTTTCTGATTTTCATTCTTATATTGAGTGAAACGCATATGTCGACTTTCCAAGTAATTATTCAATAAAATAGCGAAACTATTTGAAAAATGCTTTTTTATTTTTTTATTCTATTGAATACAATAATTGGTATAAAAATAGGTTTCCCTGATTGTGATATCATAAAAATATACCAACGTTACTCACTAGAAAAAAACGCAAGTTCTCATAGCATTTCTATTTCGACTCAAAACGAAGAATCCATGCTTGAGGCAAGAGCGCGATTCCCAATTGCTGTCGTAGTTAGATAACGAATTTTGGAGCAAATTTGCGCACTCTAATTGAGATCTGTGTTACACGCGGGAAAATCTTGGAAAATTTTTATGCGGCTGCAGGATCGTGCTCGGGGCGGTCTCTCATAAGCGCTTATCACGCACGATGTTTGTCGTGCGTGAAACAGCGACATTTTATCGCGGCAGCCGACTCTCTTCGTAACGATGCTCGATACGGTCGCGTATACCGGCGGGTTTAATCGGTCGCTTTGCGCGCTAATTAAAACGGCGACGTTGGAAAACGATCTGCGAAATGTGCGCGATTTAATCGGCCGATTTAAATCGCATCGCAGTCACGCGACACGGCGCGTTCTTAAATTTGGCCGGTCTCACGTTTTTATTATCGGATATGATCCCGTAAGCGGACGTGTAACGGCAATAATGATATGTAATGGCAGTAATGTTCGCGGCTTGTCGCCTATAATCAAGTCGATGAGATCTCGCGCTGCGCTTTCTCTTCCTTCTCTCTCTCTCTCTCTCTCTCTCTCTCTCTCTCTCTCTATTCTCTCTTGCGCTTGCTTCTTAAGCAAGTTCGTAATGTTCTTAATAAGGGATTGCATTACACTTGACTTGTGTGATCGTCGCGGGTGCGAAACTTTCGCTCGCCGTTAACTATTCATTGACTATCCGTGACAGGGATTCGCGGTCGAGAATGAGACGGCTCGTTTCATCGATTGACGCGCGAATGACAACGACGTGCGGACGCGTAATCGCAATGTTCCCGTGCATCGGAACGGAAAGAGAAAAAAGGAGCGGGTCGGCTGTGTTATCCGCGTCGCGCGAATTAACTCGCACGTGCGAGCGCACAGTTGTAACGCGCATTGTCCGATTCATTGTCGCGTGCGAATTAGCGTAACGCCGCGTAACGCGCCGCCGGCCAATTGCGAGATGCGGTTAATTCACTTTGCCGCACTCGTGTAATTTGTCTTCCCACGTAGAACATATATTGAGAGACGACGCGGGAGAGAGAGAGAGAGCGCGCGCGCACCAGCTCGCTTTCTTTCGTTGCGATGCGTGATATCGACGCTTTCCGAGTTACGGAGAATTTCCTCCCTGCTTCTCGTATACACGGAGAAAATATCACAGTGAAAATTCATACTCATAATAGTAGTTTATTAACGCGATAGCTCTTTTGTCAAGTACATATATGACAGCGCGACGAAATTGCGATAAAATTTTGTAATTTTTGGACACAGATATTATAATCGAAATTATGCCTTAAAATGTTATGCATGTTTAACATTTTGTTACATAATTATTGCATTGAACGTCTATTTTATCGTATATACGGAGAATTTCCTCCCTGTTCCTCGTATACAAATTCATAATTCATTAAATGAAGACCATTAAATTTGTTATTTCTATAGTAATTTAAACTGTAAGATCAATATAACCTAGCTTCACCAAAAAACGTAAAATACAATATAAAATTTTTGACGTAAGTTTTACTATTCTTAACATTTTCGATTCCACTCTTAATATTTTCTCTGCAAACATCGACTAACCGGCTCGTTTCTCAAATATCCGTCTAGAAAGGAGAGCAAACAACAAACATTTGATTTAATTAAAACACGTGATGACTCCCGATCCCACGGTGATTGATGCGCGTCTTTATTTTCGTGAAGCCTGAAAAGCGTCTCGAAGAGAGGAGCGAAGGGGAATCATCGAGGGAGCCAAGACCCGTTGTAAAGACGGCCACGCGCGACGATCTTCTCTCGGGGAAGGTAAAGACGGCAGAGGATGGCTCGTGCTGCCTCGCGCTGGCCGAGGTCGCCGGTTGCAATTTCGCCGTCAATCAGTCGCGACGCCGACGTCGCGACTCTACAATTTCCGCGAGTGCGAGCGAGCGAGCGGGTGCGCGCCCCGACGTCGAAAACGTGTCACGGCCGATCGAACCGCGTGTGTGTATGGACGCACAATGGCATAACTTACGTGCCGTTGTACCTACGGTCAGAGCCGGTTTAATCGTTAAGTGCCCGACAGCTCGCGCCCATTAATGATTCGCGTGCGCGGATTTTCCGCGCCTGAGTCTTCCGCCGCTCCGTTGTTTCGTTTGGTGAATTTTCGTTTGATGTTTCGCGCACCGTCATCGAAGCCCCGTCAGATACGTGGGCCGACGAATTTTTATCGGCTACGGCATAAGCCCGCATGGAGCTCGCCTTGTCTCTCCGCGCGAGAGCGGACCATCGCGAAAAAGCGCGCGATGTTTTCTCGCAACGGCTGAAAATATTTCACGCAACTGACGGCTCGCGGACGGGCGGGAGGGTGAAATTACGAAACTTTTAGACGGCGGAGTGAAATTTTGTTTCGATACCGTATCGAGTGTAGCAGCGTGGCGAGAGCTTTCGTGACTGAAGCCGGTCGATGAAAGCTCGCGTTGTCGCCGCGGAGAAGCGACTGGCATCGTAAAACCGCGCCGAATAGTGTGTGTCCGCGTTGCGAATCCATTTGCGTTCGGTTTCCTGTCGCTTTCATATTGACATTGCGTGTTCGCAATTGGTTTCGACGAAAAATGGAACAGGGAGAGAAATAGAGAAGGAGAGAGGGGAGGGGGAGCGCGTTGGAAAAATTGGATAGTGCATTTCGGCCGGTATCGGGATCTAACTTGAATTTTTAATTCACACTGACTGCCGCGAGTTATTCTGTGAAGAGAGGAAGCAACACGCTTCCTCTCATATTTCATTTATATTCTATTTCTCTTGCCACAACAAAACTGGCCTATCCGTCCGACACATGCACGCACATATATAAATCCGGAAAAAAGAGCAAGTGAAAAAGATCCCTAGGAAACCTCGCGCTGTAGGCCGCGCGTTCTTTTTCTCTCCTGTCCGCCGCTTATAGAGAATCCATAGCAGAGAACTCGAATACAAACTTCCGACGCTTGCAATTAAAATGAAGTTTTGCGATAAACTTTGACAAAGTGGCCTCGAGTGTGTTTGACGCGTGTAAATCGACCTCGCGATTGTGCCGCCGATATGTCGCCACGCTATTACACCCGAACGAACGGGCAAACGGACGTAAGATTTTCGTTCGCGTGCATATAGACTCTCTCTCTTGATCTCTCTTTTTCTCCCTCTCCTCCAGACTCCCTAAATTCTCGAATTGAAAGCCAGCTCGCTCGGGAAAATTGCTCGTGGATTCCAAGGGCGTGAGTAAGAAGTGACGATGCTGCGAGGCGACGTCTAGCTCGAAACCGAGGATTTCCGGTGTCGCGCGTTGAAATCTGACTCGTGCTCGATCAGCACGGTTCCGAGCTTAGGGTAGCTCTAGGTAGAGGTGAAATCGCGGCAGGAAGGTGGACTCGTCCGCTTATGGAACCGCGCGTGTCGTTTGCCGCGTCAAGAGCGAAACGGGCGAGCGCTCGTTCAGAAATCCGGCCTGAAAATAGAAGCGTCCACGCAATCGAGGCGCTCTACGGCGCACGATGACGCTGGATGGGAATCCGCGGCGCTCATAGCGGCGTCCAGCAAGGAAGATTATGAGCCTGATCAGGCCCTCGAGATTGCTGGCGCATGTGGAGACTAAGGTATGGCCGCGGTAGCTGGCATCTATGGCATTTCAGAGGATCGACACACCAGACACGCCTCCGACCATCGGCAACGTGATCAGATGTGAGTTTTAAGGGGGTCACGATAAGACATTCTCGCGTGGCAGAAGCAGTGATTAAATGGAGAGAAAATCTCGTGGTGGTCATACATGAAAACCTAGACGTGAAAGTATGTCGGTTATGTCGAAGTCGAGGAGGGAAATTTTGTTTTAATAATTTCAGAGATTGAATCACATAGAAGGAGAGTAACTGGCCAATCAAAACATGAACGCAAGATTTTTAAATGCATGTGTCAAGATTGTTTTGGCTACATGTTATATATCCCTTGCTAAATCCAAATTTTCTAATAATTTTCCTCTTCATTTTGCTCTCCAGAGGATATTGAAGCTGAAAATTTTATTAATAGAATACTGACATTTTTCTGTAAAGTTCATGTCATATTGGTTGTAAAAAATTACAAATGCTTTTTGTTCAATATGTGATGAAAACGGAAAAAAGTTTTAATGTAAAACCTCAAGCGCGCCCTTAGTTAGAGTAATATTTGCGTAATTCAAAAGTTCCACAGTTTGTACGTATCGAAAATGTGGCTGCTTTAAACAGAAAAATTTTGACCAACATTGCTGTACTTTTGCATCTGAATTCAGAAGCTTAAGAATATCAGAAAAGTTTGCAGAAAAATTTCTACACATGCACGGTTAGGTTCCAAATATGGTAAAACAAAGCAACACACATTTACATAAGATCTGTATGTATAAGAGATCTGAAAAGACTAGCGTAACTGTGTTAGTGACTATCGTCTCTGCATAATCGACATTGTTTGTCATCGACTTCGGCATCCCTTTAAAGGGATATCAAAGTGAGAGATGAACTCCAAAAATGTCGAGAAGCGAGCTTCAAAACTCTTTGTTAGATAAGCACCAACACGATTACGATACTTTTTATATTTTCTGTAGATCTTATATAAATGCATGTTGCTACATGATAGTAAATATTTTTTACTTCACATTATTAAACTAAATTTGTTTTACATAATTACGCAAAGAAAAAATACGAAGTGATCACTGTGTGTGAAGAGAGTCCTACAGATAAACCTGTGAGAGTGTGTGTGTATGTTAATATTAGTATTACAAACTTAGCAAAGAACATTTTGCGTTCAGTTCTGATTGGCTCGCGTTTTGTGGATTGGTTCTTGCGGGCCATTCAATAATAAGATTGATTACAAAGATTGCCGACTTTCTATAATGTTCTTCCCTTATTATAAATACAATATAGGATATGTAAATATAATTATAATATAGGATTTTGCTTTATTTAAATCGTCGACACGTGGTTCCCACGATAAAATCGGTACTTCCTGAGAAAGAAGGAAGAAAAAAAAATCTAAAACACCTAGAATCATGCGGACTCAGCTAATGAAAAATTTTCCTTAATAAGCAAAGGCTGGAGGGTGAAAGGGTTAACTGGTGTACCCGAACGGGGAGCTATAAATATAGACGCCCCTTTGGCGCACCCTCGCCTCTACGGCTACGTCAACGTTAGAGCGGCGGGTGCCGCGTTTAAGAATTCATCTCGCGTCGGGAAGAAAACTTCTGCCGTTGTTGCGCCGCGCGCGTACGTCATTTGCGCGTTTACCTTAAAGACCGCAACAAATATAGCCTACGTTATAAATATGTGAAACTCTCATATCTCGCGGAACGGAATTACGCGTGCAGTTTCTGCGCTGTGCCACGCTAAGAAACTCGGGGAAAACTGCACGAGAAAAGTTACGACCGACGCCAGATTATATCAGGTGCGTCTAAGATCCAACAGCGAGACATTAGTCAAAATCTTCGCGGAACGAAAGCGATCTCCAGTCGGATTGACGCTCGCTTCAGATTGAAGCTCTCTCGGCTCTTGCGAGGTGCGTGATATGATATGCGATGAGAAAACACTATCCGGGCATGGCGATAAGAAGGAAACTTGGAACGGAAGTCGCGACGCGATGATGTCGCGCCAAAGCGCCGAACTATGAAGCGTCCCGTTGGTTGTTTCGCGAAGGGCGAGGATTTATCGCGCCGCAGCGCGAGTTTGGAACGATGTTATTTCTTCTCCCTCTCCCCTCTCTCTCACGACGATAATTAAATCGACGCGGAACGCGGGTGGTAAACTCAAATGTAGCGGAAGCACAGTGGCTGCCCCATTTACACAGGACATAATTCTTCGCCGATAAATGGAACGATACTTGACGCGCGGCTATTTTCTTTTGACCCATATAGCGTCGTATCATCTTCGTGATTAACCTCTTCGGCGAAAGTAGCGGGATGTGTCTCCCCGTTTACATTATTAAAAGATTCATGTGATTCGAAGCGTTACCGGCCAAGGAGGAGCTCGATAAATTCGCTCGTAAGACGAGCGTGCGCGCGCGCGCGCGCAGGACGCTGGTAATTTTCACTGGAGAATCAAATATTGATGAGTCTTCGATCACCGAACGTCGCGCGTTTTTCGTGCGGCAATTTAGAATCACCCCCAGGCTCGGAGACGTCCGCATTTTTACGTGTACTCATGACGACGTGGACGCCAAGACCGAACCCTTAACGGGTTCTGCCGCAAAGAGAGAAGGGGGAGAATAACGGGTTAATATCTTCACGCACATGGGGTTGCAGGGCGGACGTCTCATCGGTTAGATAATCGATTTCCGATATCGGCTTGACCGGCCTTCGGGCGCACGCCAGAGACATAAGCGTGTACCCATTGCGGTTGGCGTCAACTATTGATACGATATGCGCTGCACATTAACCCGAACGTTCGCGCGCTGAGCGTTGCGCTCTCTTCAAAATTTAACGTATCTTCGTCCTCGTAGGGGGAGAGGGGGCGAAGGGGGGCGGGGAGGCGATTAAAAAGAACCTTGCCTATTTTTATGAGTTTTGAGCTCCGTTAGGTAACAGGACTTAGCTGAAAGATTGCACGTTATCCTCTAAGTCGACACTGTTTTACATTCCTTGAAACATTGGAGTCTCTTCAAAATTTAATGTATCTTCGTCCTCGTAGGGGAGTGAAGGGGCGAAGGGGGGCGGGAAGACGATTAAAAAGAATCTTGCCTATTTTTATATGAGTTTTGAGCTCCGTTAGATAATAGGACTTAGCTGAAAGATTGCACGTTATCCTCTAAGTCGACATTGTTTTACATTCCTTGAAACATTGGACAGTTTCTTCAAAATTTAATGTATCTTCGTCCTCGTAGAGAGAGAGGGGCGAAGGGGGCGGGGATGCGATTAAAAAGAACCTTGCCTATTTTTATGAGTTTTGAGCTCTGTTAGGTAACAGGACTTAGCTGAAAGATTGTACGATATCCTTTAAGTCGACATTGTTTTACATTTCTTGAAACATTGAACAGTCTCCTAAAAATTGAATGTATCTTCGTCCTCGTAGGGGGGTGAAGGGGCGAAGGGGGGCGGGGAGACGATTAAAAAGAACCTTGCCTATTTTTATATGAGTTTTGAGCTCCATTAGGTAACAGGACTTAGCTGAAAGATTGTACGTTATCCTTTAAGTCGACATTGTTTTACATTTCTTGAAACATTGAACAGTCTCCTAAAAATTTAATGTATCTTCGTCCTCGTAGAGAGAGAGGGGCGAAGGGGGCGGGGAGGCGATTAAAAAGAACCTTGCCTATTTTTATGAGTTTTGAGCTCCGTTAGGTAACAGGACTTAGCTGAAAGATTGTACGTTATCCTTTAAGTCGACATTGTTTTACATTTCTTGAAACATTGAACAGTCTCCTAAAAATTTAATGTATCTTCGTCCTCGTAGAGAGAGAGGGGCGAAGGGGGCGGGGAGGCGATTAAAAAGAACCTTGCCTATTTTTATGAGTTTTGAGCTCCGTTAGGTAACAGGACTTAGCTGAAAGATTGTACGTTATCCTTTAAGTCGACATTGTTTTACATTTCTTGAAACATTGAACAGTCTCCTAAAAATTTAATGTATCTTCGTCCTCGTAGAGAGAGAGGGGCGAAGGGGGCGGGGAGGCGATTAAAAAGAACCTTGCCTATTTTTATGAGTTTTGAGCTCCGTTAGGTAACAGGACTTAGCTGAAAGATTGCACGTTATCCTCTAAGTCGACACTGTTTTACATTCCTTGAAACATTGAACAGTCTCCTCAAAATTTAACGTATCTTCGTCCTCGTAGAGGGAGAGGGGGCGAAGGGGGCGGGGAGGCGATTAGAAAGAACCTTGCCTATTTTTATATGAGTTTTGAGCTCCATTAGGTAACAGGACTTAGCTGAAAGATTGCACGTTATCTTCTAAGTCGACACTGTTTTACATTCCTTGAGATATTGGACAGTCACCGACGAAAAAGTTGTCCGAAATTTTTGGGGTGGGTTTGTGAACTCATTCACCTTGTCCAATGGGAGCATTCTCCCATTACAAAACATAGGACGCAATCCATTAGACTCCGCTTTGAAGTGCTTAAAGAGAAGCCACGATTGGTCCATATGGCGTTTCAAAGTATCTGCAACATCTAATAGATCGCATCTGTACTCTTCCATTGCATAAGACGAAGAGTTTGCAAATTCGTCTTGAAAATTGCGAACAACCTGCTTGTCTACGACTGTATTACATTGAGAAAAATGTGTATTTGTAACTATAAACGTGTATAGTGAAAGTATCATAAAAATTTTTATTGGCGTAACTAAATATCTAGTGAAATGTGAACGAATAAAAATTCCAAGCTTGAAGTTATTAAAACTTTGCTTGAGTTAACAACACTTCTGATTAATCAATCCAGAATTTCGGTTAGTCAATCTAGATTTCTGGTAAACTGTTCAAAGTTGAACCGAATTCTAATTCTAAATTTCAACAGAAATTCGTTCATATTTCATCAGATATATGGTTAATTAAAACATTTTTTTCCTGCGTAGTCAGAAGAATTATTTTTGTAGTATATGTTAATGATGATAATTTTATATGCGTGCTGCTACTACTAGTTTTTTGTTCGAGCAATGATAAAGTATAACAGGCGCTGAAAATAACTATAATTTTAAAAACATTCTTTTCTTTTAATGTAAATAACTTTTTTACTTGATG